GCAGCCCCTCCCCGCTGCACAGGGTGGCACCCTCCTCTCCGTACAAACATGGTGCCTCCCGTTTGGTATATATGTACATAAATGTGAAATACATACATTCAATTTTTAAAAAAACATATTTGCGCAGCCCCTCTCACTCTCCACACCCTCCTCTCCACGGTGTGCGCCCTCCGTGGCACCCTCCTCTCCACGGCGTGCAAATTGCACTGCCAGTGGCGGGCTTTATAGCCCTGCCACAATGAGAATGTTGGGCGCCCTGCTGAGTTGAATCTTTGGCGGGCCGCCTGTCGAAGCAGCGCGTATCACTGAGCAAGCGAGTCAGTAAGTGGTGCCAGCCTACATTGATTGTGAACAGTTGTAGCGAGGTATCGAACAACACAAACAAGAGAAAATTGCCTGTCAATCTGAAGATCATTTTGGATGCTTTGATTGGATTTGGAATAATAAGGCCGGCCACCATGTTTCAGCGCCTAATGGGGATCACTGTGCACAACCCTTCAGGTGTGGCACGGTGAATGCAACAACATGCGATGCGAGAAGCCTCAACCCATACCTGGTTCTCCATGGGCCGACATGAAGAGCTTTTCACATCCACATCATCCCAAACAGACACCAGGCTGAACACGGTGGCCTCAAACTTCACGAAGCAGCACTTGACCTGGCAAATCCTGCCTAATGAAGTACCGTCCATGATCTCCACCACGTCTCCAACAGCAACAGACCGCTTTCCAAGACCAAAGGTTACAGATCTTCCCACGGTCAACCCTGGTGCCACCAACAATTGATGGGCCTTGCAAAAGGCTGCATGCAACTCGCCTGACGCTTCCTTACCCTTTTACGAGGTCCAACTCGCCATGCCCGTTGTACTGTTCCAAATCCATGGTGTGGGACAGAGTCACTTCCTCCAACACCGAGCGCTCCACTCCAGGGACACCAGTCGCAGTCTGATTAGCGTACCGTTTGAGTTCCTTATGCCGCCTTTCTTGCACAAAGCAAGAAGGCAAGAAACCGTGCTTTTCCAGCGACCATGGTAGATGCATGGCAAAATGAGCCTTTGGAGGCAAGAAGTCCTTGCCGTACACCTGAGTAAATTCCATGAAATGCAGGGTGATTGCATTCTGAAGGCTGCGTGGAGCAACTCTCCCTGCATTTGCAGCCAACAGTAGAAGATCCATCACTCCACACAAATGCTGAAACACTTTGCGTGCTGCTGCCACTTTCTCAGTGACTCGTCTCGGATCCAAACACCTCAAGAATTCCAGCAGTACCGGGTACAGCGACAAACCCTCAGACGCACTGCTTTTGAACTTGTCCTTGGACAGGTCGACCTTTTTCTCCAAAACTTTGGTGGCATCGACTGCACGCCCTCCTATCCAACTAGGCCACACAAAGGTGCTGACATATTGGTGGACTTCTTCTTGGCGAATACCTGCCCCTGCTAGCGCCCCAAGAAGCAATGTCACCTGGAATCAGCGGGCACCAACTACAAGCTATGCCCTGCTTTGGCGAGCAATAACCCTGCCGATTCTTGTAATGGCCTATATGTACTGTTTTTGACCTGTTGAGGTTTACAACACAGATTGCTTTACGCAAAAGCCTTACAAGTGGAACTCCCCGCATCCCCAACACAAACCTAGGAGGCCTTTTGACGATCACTGCAAAGGGACATGTAAATAGCAACGAGTCACTTCCAAGTGGAACAGGCCTGATACCATGTAGCAATGCATCCAGTCATAGCATAAACCTTCTGTGACGCTAAACCCACAAGCCTGAACAGTATCCAACGCCAAAAGACCTCTTGGGCAATAATTTATGCCCAGTCTTTGTTGCAGGCTACTGAATTGTGACTTGTTGAGCACCACAGATTGGGCCGCCAGATGCCTATGGTTGTCTCGCAGTGTAGCATCAGAGTGTAGCACAAATTTGCGCACGTCTAGTTCTGTGTGTTCTATCACGCTGTCGGACGACCGAGCCAGGGTGGACGCTTTTGACACCGTGGTTCTGCCCAAAATGCACATCAGTGACCCGCTAGCACCCTTTGATGCAAAGCAATCCCGAATGGCGCCTTCATCGGACACGAGAATTGTCGGCACAGCGGACAGGAACCCAGTACCACCACAGTGAAAGTCTAGCTGTAGCCCACTGCGGAAATCCATGCCTGGTTCAACAAATGTGACAGGAATGCCAGTTTGGCCAGCTGGGCAAATCCGTCAGCAACTTCCTTTCTGACAATGCTCGAACGTAGGCACGTCAAGATGAACCAAGATGGTTCGGCTGACAGCAAGCTGCCGCCAAGTTCCTCAGCACGCGCATGCGCAAGAACCGTGTAGACAGGGGGTTCCAAAAACTATGTTGGTAGATAGTCACTCTCATAAACGTTGGTTGAATGTGCATGCGAGACTCTGCTATTGCCCAGTATATAGCAAACACCTTCCGCCTGTTATCTGCTTTGAGCACGTTGCCAGGCGATATTTCGTCTGCGTACAATATCAGCCGGTAGGGGGATGCAGGAGTCGATGTCTTCTG